CAGGACTTCAAGTCATGTTGATTTCTGTGGCTGCACTGTGAGCACCTACACCATTTTAAGTCCCCAGGCTTGCCGTGCGCAGGAGCTTAAGTCGGCATATGGCAAGCCCACATATGGAGCAGGCAGGCTGTGATCACTCAGAGTAAAAGAAGAAGGAAAATAATCTTTATTACAGGAACATCGTCTAGAGACAGGAAGATAATGTTGGGACACGCTGCTAAGGTGCATGCCTGATAGAGAAAGAAAAGGGGGATGAAATGAAGTCACCCTGAAAACACCATAAAGGGGAAAGAGATCTGACAAAAGAGGTACACACACATGACCTTATCATATATACTCATGTATAAGCCAGCCTCATGTATAAGTTGAGGGAAAGTTTTAGGGTCAAAACCATGGATTTTGATATGACCTGTAGATAAGTCAGGGGTACAACTTAAAGGCATATAACAAAGGATGTAAAAGACCAAGCAAAGGAAAATGATGTGAAAGAACTAGCAGCAATTAATGCCTTTAACTTTATAACTTCCCAGAAATTTAACAGTAAAAGAAGCAAGCAAGGGAGAGTAGGAGCAGCAGGAGGCACTTCTTTGACAGTAAAAGAAATGCCTATCATGTACCATCACTCTTCCTGCCTTGGCAGCAGCTCTTTTGGAGCTCACTGGCAAGGCAGGGAGAATGAGGGGCTGGATGGTGCTTATTTTAGGACAGTCTTTACTTTACAGAGAAATTGAAAAGAGCTGCTACTGCCATTTTTCTGAGCCATATTACTTTAATGGTAAAAGATAAAGATTTCCCCTTTGACAAGATTGTCTAGTTGTGTCCAACTGTAGGGAGCAGTGCTCATCTCTGTTACTAAGCCAAGGGAGCCATTGTTGTCAAAGACAACTCCATCATCATGTGGCCAGCATGACTAAATGCCAAGGCACATGAAGCACTGTTACCTTCCCACCAAAGTGGTACCCACTTATCTACTTGCACTTTTACATCTAGGTTGGCAGAAGCTAGGGCTAGTGATGGAATCTCACTCTGTCGTGTGGCACTTGGGTCTCGAACTGCCAGTCTGCTGACCTTGTGATCATCAGTGTTTTAATTGCTAAACCACCATGTCCCCTAGGGTTACATTATTGACCTGTTTATAAGTTTTGGGGGTCATAGTTTTTCCCACTTATGGGTGAGTATATATGTAATTATCTGTCTCTACCATCACCTGCTAGCACATAGTTCTTAGTACAGACATTGTTGCTGTCAATTTCCAACAAGAAAGCCAGAATTGGTCATAGAAACCACACCCATTTTCTGAATTGTGTTACATCGGGACATTCTTTCTTAACATGTATATGTGTTCTCTGGATAATAATTTGGGGAAGGGAAAGCCTCTAAGGTTCAACATGTAACCTCCATCATGAAGATGTTATGGGGATTTGCTAAGGATAAATGTTGCCATCCAAGGATTAAAATTCAGGATTTGTCTTCACATTTTATTTGTTGATTGTTCTGCCCTTAGATATAAAATGAATGAAAAACAAGATGCCCACAACTTTCCTTAGTCTAATGTAACTATATGCATCCATGATGTGCGCTTTCAAATAGTTTCCAACTTATGACAACCCTAAGGTGACTCTGTCATGGAGGGATTGCCTTTGCCAACTCTGAGGCTGAGAATTGACCAAGATCACCTAGTAGGTTTCCATGACTGAGCAGGGATTCGAACCCTTGTCTCCAGACCCATAGTCCAACACTCAAACCACTACACCACACTGCCTCTCTATATGCATCAATTGCTGCTCAGAGTGGTAGAAATGTGTATGGATAGTATTCTATGTTGTTTACTGGCTAATACATGGCATCATATTCCTTGCTATAATGTACAGTGGCATAAGTGCTCAGATGTAATGTCTCACTTATGTCAGAAGGAGCACTGAGCTATTTCTTTGGTGAGCATCATACATTTAGCTTAATAACTCTTCTCAAAGGTCTCACTACATCTGACATCCCAACCACCGTATGGTTTTGTTTCTCACCAGGTATTCCTATAAACTGCATCCCTGAATAATATGATGACATTTAGCACAGTTCCAGAGTCAAAATAAAAACAATGAAGATATATAAACTCTTTTTTAATCCTATAAACTGCCTACCTCCAGGTCTGTAAGTGTTTCACCTCTTCCACTCTAAAATTTCATTGAGCAGGTTACAAAACAGAAATGTGTAGGTATCTTTTAATTTAGCAAACAGCACAATGTGACTGATAATATTTCTCTGCAAAGAGCTAGAATATCCTGCAGACAGATATAGTTTTGCTGCAAGTGCAATATTCTAAAGATTCTAAAACAGATGTGAGGTACCTCAGGCCCTGAGTCCAAATTTGGCTCTCTAGGGTTCCCTCGATATCCATGCTCCCTTCCCAGCTATGTGTAAAGTTTTTGCCATTCTAAAAGGTTGAAATGCCTTTCCTAGAGCTTAGTTCCTGGCAGTACAAACTTTCAAATAAAATATGCTGTACTTTTGGTCACACCCTTTCGCCTTTGACCCCATTAAGTGCTGAAATGCAACCCTTGAGAATTTCTCTAAAGCTGAATTCAGCCATCAGCCTGAAAGAGATTCCCTACCCTACTAAGGACTGCAGCAATACGAAATATTATGAGATGTCAGAGACATGAAAATCAGTAGTAAGGGATGAATGTATTTAGTTTATTGTTCTTAAGCTTAAAAAATTTAATTCAGTTGCATTTATATTGGAATGAGAAAAATAATTATTTTAAATTGCCATTTATATTCAAATTATATTCAAGTTAGATGACTCAAATTATATTCAAGTTAGCCTTATCAGAATGAAGCTGAACATTTCCATCCATAATTTTACTCTCCATCTCCTTATCCCTTTTTTGAATTCTGAAGAGAAGGAAATGGCTGTATTAATTTTTGGAAACCCTGTTTTTCATCCACCCCACCAGAAACACTTCTCTTGCTTTACCTTTCTTCTTTCCTTATAATTTCATGTCTTTACTTTCCTCTTTCATAAGTCCTTCTCATTTTATCACTATAAAGAAATGGCTGGTTTCAGTAATATGGATTGTTTATTATTTTTAGAAATGAGGTAGGGAAGGGTTAATTAACTCCACTGGAGTTACTCTAAAGTAAATTATTTGAATTACAAACTGAACATTGTAATTTCCCAACTCTGAAGTACTGAAAGAAAGAAAAGTATAGTCCTCCCACCCCATATGTGGGCTTGAGGTCCCGTGGACAGCAAGCCCAGAGCAACAAAATGGCTGCAGCACCATGTGCAGGAGCACGATGCCATAAAATCAATGGGACTTGAGGTCCCGCAATTTTTTTCATACATGGGGGAGGGGAGAGTCTGAATGGATCCCCCACATATACAAAGGGCCCACTGTAGTTTTGCAGAAATCTGAGACTATTAGGTTTTGGATAAAGTACTATCTGGGAAATGTGACATTTGTTCATTCTTTAGCACTCTCACAGTTAACTGATTGCCATCTTAATTAATAATTTATTCTATGTTTAAATTAATCCTCAAAATTAATGTAAGTCAATTACGTTAACTTAAAAATAAATTTAATTAAGTTGTGTTTTGTTTTGTTTTTGTTTTTTTGAAAATTTGAAAATCTTATACTTAATTGATTTCAATGAGTACTTCCTATCACAGGAAGATGGACAGTTTGCATGAAGTGCATGAAATATATTGTACTGTCCCTTACTTTCCAAGAAATGGTATCCAACTTAAGTAAAAAGAACAAAACATTACCCAAAAAAGTAGAAAAGGTAGAAAAACAACATAAAACGCTGTGTCCTTCTCAGCAACCAGTGTCCCTGCCTTCCCTGAGCAGCTGTTCCTTTAAGGGCGAGGGAGAAGAGAGTTTCACACAGAGGAAGAAGCAAGCTCTTTCTCAGTGTCCCTGCCTTTGTCTCAGCAACTGTTCCTTTAAGAGCCCTTGCTACTTGCCCCAAAGAACCATGAGAAATCTGACAAGTACAGAAATGGGGAGAATCCTGCAAATGACTTTCACACTAGAGCTATAGCATAAAAAAAGTGAATTCATTAATGAAACAGAAATCAATTTATGGTATTTGCCCAAAAATGCCTATTTGCTGGTTCATGTCACTTTCCTGTCAGTTTCCAAGTGGTTTGCACACAACGTCATGTGAAAACCATTTATGAAATTGCACCTAATATGCTGGATAACCACAGGTTCTGTTCCATTTAAACTTCCAATTTTCCCCATGTGATGGAGAACGATACCTATTGGTCTCACTCTGATGTTGAACAACCATCAGCTTTGTTCCCTGATATCTGTATGTTCAATGAGATATCTAAAGGGGAGAAGGGTGACTATATAAAGATGTATTGCCCAATTGGGAATCCCAATCACATTGGCTTCTCTATTTATCTGCAGCTCTGCACTCATATCATATCCTTTTCTGTCACCTCCCTAAAAGAATGAACATCAGGGAGTGCCACTGGAATAAAATTTGGTGGCAGGACAAGCAAGTCAAAGCCTGTCTTCCTTTCTCTCTCACACACACACACAGGCATTTAGCCTACACATGGAGGTGAAAAGGTGCAGGGTTTATTACACAGGAAGAATGTGCGACTCACACAAGGTCATCCAGCAGGTTTCCATAGCTGAG